GGAAAGAAACAAACAGCACATCCTGCAAGGCAGCCCTGCTGAGAGACTATGGGGTGCTGCAGAGAGCAGTGATGGGGCAGAAAGTCCAGTGGGATTTTCAGTTCCGTGTCCAGGTTCCACTGGCACAAGCCTCGAGCACGTCCCTCAGCCCGGGATCACAGTCACTCTTTGCACTAAGGAAGAGAGGTCTTGGGGGAATCAGTGCTTTTTTTGAAGATGAAATTGGCTGCAGTGATAATACTCTGCCCTTCCCAGCACCTTCCATCTAAGGCCTCTCTACACTTCAGCGGCTACAGGGACACAGCTACCACCCTGCAGCTGGGCCACCGCGGCACCATAGTGTAGATGCTTCCTACGTCCCCTAAGGGTTTGTTCCATGGATGTAGATAATCCATCTCTCTGAGGCTGTAGGTAGGTCCATGGGAGAACTCTTCCCTCCACCTCGCCCTGGCTACGCTGGGGGTTGGCTTGACCTGAGGACGGTGCTCAGGGCATCTCACTTTTCACAGCCCTGAGCAGCACCCGGCTCTGCTGGTCCAGTCTTTATGTGCAGAGCAGGTCCCAAAGGGGCCTAGGATCCGGGCTCGGGGGCATTCCCAGGGAGAGCCCCCCAGCCCCGGGCCCCATGTCCCGGCCCCACCTCTGCGCTACAGGCCAGGCCAGGCCCAGCCCCGGCAGCCCCCAGCGCCCCTGAGCCACAGCCCGGCCGAGCTCCCGCCGCACCTGGCTCTTCCCTCACGGCCTCGCAAGCGGCTTTCTTCACCTCCAGGGCCCCCTCGGGCCGGCCGGGGCGGAACACGGCCGTGTGCACCTCGACCCGCGGCGCGGCGCCCGGCCCCGGCGGCTGGAAGACCTCGAGCAGCAGCTCCTCCAGGCGGCGGCGGGCCTCCGCCTCCTCCTCGGGCCGGGGCTGCACGATCACCCCCACCAGGGCGGCGGGCGCGCCGCGGCTCTGCTCCCGCACGCCCCGCAGCACCTCCCGCAGCCGCTCGGCCCGGCCCCGCAGCGACGAGGCGCGGCACAGGAAGAAGATGAGCTGCCCGGCCGGGGGCGCGCTGGGCGGCGCGGGGCTGGGCGGCCGGCGGGCCACGGGCAGCACCTCGTGGGCGAAGGAGCTGAGCGCGGCCTGGGCGCGCTCCGGCTCCCACGTCTCCCCGGCCAGCAGCAGCACCTGCGTCCGCTGCACCACGGCCTGGAACTCCCCGTCCGGGCTCGCCCCGGGCTCGGCGGCGTCCGCCCGCCCCGACTGCTCCTGCGGCTCCATGGCCGCCCGCCGCTGAGCTGGGCCC